GCGGCGTCAAGGCTGCGCCCGGCGGTGCGATGAGGGCGCGTCTCGTTGCACATGCCGCGGGTTTGGGGTTTTTTTTTCGTTCTTCCTTTCTCCTTGAAGCCACTTTTCAACCTCGCTGTTGTTAATTCAATCTAGGGAAGGCAGCGACTGGCAGAGGGTAAGAAGTGCCTTTCAGAAGAAATTAATGAAACCCAGGGAAGTTGCGAAACTGGATACCACGATCAACGAGGTACTGGGCTTCGAGAAATTCTTTCTCTCTCCCCATTCCCCTGGAAACCTGGGAAATAAAAGCAGATCAAATGTTCCAGTGTACCTGGAGAGCAGTCGATTTGCTGCAGAGTGGTAAAACCATGAATTCATGCTCTGAAATCATTCAGGGAAGGATAAGTACAAACTGATTATCAGGGTCTGATAAAAAGTGAGACCACACAGAAACCTGCAGATTGTCTGTCTCCGTGGATCAGTAAGATTATTCCTCAATGATACAGGCTCCTGCAAACAGAGGTTTTGCATACTTCATTCAGTATTTTTTGCCTTTACCCCTTCATTCTTATGTTCCTCCTATCAGGGAACCTCTCCCTCTTTAACCTCTGTGTTCCTCATGGAGTTTGAGGAGCATCTCTGATCAACAGCTTCATCCATATTGTGAAACTCCAGTATTATCCCAGCGTCGGATGAAGCATTTCATTCCTGTGGAGGAAAGCTCAGTTTGACAAAGTGCAAACAGTAATAACAGGAGAGTCATGTAAAACCCAAACATGTTAACATAGTAGGAGATTGAATCTTGTTCAAAGAATAGGAAACGTTAAGTATTCCGCTCTTATGTGAGATTGTTACTTATAGAAAAGACAGTTCAAATGCTAAATTTCACTGAATTTTTATTAGTTCATCTGATTTTATTACCTTTTTCCCTCTCTTCTCTCCACTGCTTAGGTCCTGGAGGACTTCATGCACAGAATAGATGATGCTTGTAACCACAAGGGACAAATAGAAGATGTCTATTCAGAATTCAACAAATGGTCATTTGAAAGTAAGTTGTCCTTTGCCTGAGAATGACATGCATTTTGCACTTGCCATGGCATTTCACTTACAATCAATGATGAATGTGTAGGGGGGTTATTTCCAAACTGTCAGCCACAATATCATGGAAAGCAGGTTGCAGAAAAGCCAGGGGAGTATCAGTACACGTGCAAAATTCATCAGCAACTATACAAACTCTCCTGTCTGGTTATCTATGTGGCTTGTAATAAATGCAAACATTATAGTGACTAACAAATCCAAAACTTGGGGGAACCAAAGTGCATTTATCTAGAGTGGGATCAGACCCACCCATGACCATTTTTGTCCATCTGATGTTTGTTAATTACCAGCAGCACAAGATCAATGAATGATCGAATAACAGTAAAGAAGTATTTGTTGTAGACAAGGGTTGGAAAATCCCATTGTTTTCATTGGGATTGAGAAGCACTGGAGTAAGTTACCAAGACAGGAGCCTCCATCTTCAGAAACCTTTCAGAGTACACTAGGGAACCATCTGCCAGGAATGACTTGGGGCATCAGTGGTTCCCACTGAGGAGGGATGGTTGGATACAGCGTGTAACCGAACAAGCTCTGCCAGACCTGTCTGCTCTTGGCTGGCTCATCTCAGCAACCTGTGTATTGAGTTTCTGAAAGTGGTTTTTCCACTGTAAGTGGAGATGTCTCCTTTTGGAAAGGGAGAAATAGGAAGTGACCGTAGAAATGCAAGTGGGAAGAGGTGGAAACTTGTGGAGTGGGGGATGCTGCCAGTGTTTGCAAGTGGTTTCTGGCTGTGAAAAGGGCTAAGAAGCACTGGACTAGATGGGCTCTTCAGGCCCAGTCTTCCCATGACACTTCTCTTCAGTACTGTTGCTTAATTAGCTTATTTGCCAAATATGCCAGCCCTGCTTGGCACAACGATCTGCTGCTCGTCAGGGGATCGGTGCTGCTTCTTATTTGTGAAGAAAATGCTACCTTAAGGGTACCTCAGCTACATATAGTGCTACTTGGGTCTGAGGCAAATGTGCAGAAGGAGTTTTGAAGTGCTGCTCAGGTGTGTATCATAGAACATTTTTCAGAGAGATAATCCAAGCCATTCCTTGACAGTAAATGGTGCACATGGTTCACCCTTTGGTTTATGTAATTTAATTATAATATTGCCTTACAACAGGTATCTGTCTGGTGCTGTATGGAAAGAGGTTTGGTCTCCTACAGCAGGACATAGAAGAAGAAAGTCTGAACTTCATCAAGGCTGTAAAAACGGTATGTAAGAGTCTTTACTGGGGCTGTAGTGATTTTCTACCCCTACTACTAACGAGAGGGCACAGGTTTAGATGGTTCGCCTGGAAAAAGAAACTCAAGTTTCTGTGCTACATGTGTATTGGCAGCCTTGCACATCCAAGGTGACACTTTCATGTGCAGGGCTAATGCTGAACGTCTCATTTATGAAATGCCTAAATTTGTAGAGGAAAAATTGCTGTATGGACATCAGGGTAATCCTGGAAATTGAGTTGTGAGCTTGGTTGGTTGGTTAATTTTCCTCTCCCTCTGAGACACCTGTTGTGCAACACTGCTGTTTGTTGGGTGGGACTCTTGGAGTGGTGTGGGATTATGCAAATATGACGGATTTGGAGGTTAGTCATTCCTGCAAGCACAGCTGCTGTGCATCTTGCTGCAACTTGGACTCCGGTGATATATATCTGCCTAATTTTAGCCATCTAAAAGATAGGCATCTAGCCTAGCCTAGTTTTTAACTCCATCTGTTGTTAAGGGAGAGAGAGACGCTGCCAAAGGGTGGCTTGTCCCATTCTAAAACAGGTGCCTAAAATAGGTAGGATGAATCACCCACTAGAGAAGCCTCTTATCCTCCACTGCCTGTCCCTAACTTTCAGCTGGATACAGTCTAAGTAGGTTGAGACCCATCCTTTCTGTCAAGAATGGAGAATCTGCCAGAATCCTGACATCCTGAAAATTCTCTCCTACTTTATAGTCTAATCTTGTTCATGGATAGCAATCACATAGATTAAAGAAAGATTTCGAAAACTCTTTCTCCACCACAGATGATGGCTACTTTTGGAATGATGATGGTGACCCCCGTGGAACTTCACAAGGGTCTGAACACAAAAGTCTGGCAAGCTCATACTAAAGCATGGGATGATATATTTAAAACAGGTTAATTTTTTAAATTTTTTTTTTTTAACCCCAGGTTCTCTGCTTTCCCTTTGTCTCTGTTTCCTACTTGGTGAAATTAACTTTCTTCATACTTGCTACTGTCCTTCGCTGATGTTAATTCCTACCTTCAGCACCTTTGCTGCAACTAACCACAAACCTATTCCAAGCATGGCAGCACTGTTTTCTTGTGACTAACACTTTGCTCTGGTTGTGGAGCAATCCCCAGGGAAGCACCAGAAATTTGGGAGCCAGCGATGTCATGAGTCCACTCTAATGTGTCATAAGAGTAAATAGCCAGAAACTGTACAACCTCTTTAAGGGCAAGAGATATGAATGAGAAAAGGGACCTCCCCCAAAGGGACCTCATACGAAATTGTTTTCTTGAGAAACATGAATTTTATATGCAGCAAAAATCTGTTTTTTAGAAAAAAAAGAAAGGAAAAAGAAATTATGGGTTTTCTGAGCAACCTGGAATATAACTCTAAGTCTTAAAACCAGAAGCAATTTAAATAACAAGGTACAGCTTGGGCTTTTTGACAACATTTTCGGTCTATTTAAGATGGATTGGTCTTCAAGCTTACAAAATTACTCTAACTCCAGGTAGGAAGTTAAGTTTATATTTTTAAATATTTTTGCTAGACACTGAAAGTTATAGCTACAGATTAAGAAAGCTTTTGCATTTGGAAGTTGTAATGCTGGGTGATATATTCCTCCTAGGTACTTGATACTTCAGGGGTTTTGGTCATCCCAGCCACACGTGCACTTATTTTATTGCTTCTTAGTTTATGGGGTTTAGAAAAGACACTTTAAACCTGTTTTCTTCAGAAAAAAAACAGCTTTACTTGACATGAAAAGATCCTTAGTACAAACTGATCTTAACAATTGGGATATTTGTGAGGAAGGGTGGGCAAAATCTGGTCATCTATACCTACAAAAATAAAATAGGATGTTGAAATTTGGCATCTATTTTTGCCTTCCCTTAGGAAATCAAAGGCTTCAATTTCCCCTCAGGGAATCTGAATGCTAAGTCTCTTTGATTTTTTTTAACACCTTGATCCCCTTTGAAAATCCAATGTAATAATTTTTACACACTTATATTTCTGTTTGCTAAACATTTGACTCAACACATGACTGATTTCCTTTCCTAATTTAAGAAAGCAGAATTCCTAATAGTTTACAGGAGGTCTTTCTGTTCAGAAGTTATTTTTGTGACTGAGTGCTTTGTTTAAAGTGATAATACCATTATTTATTCAGTATAACACTCATCACTTGAAAAAAACAGCACAGCTTGGCATCATCTTTCAAAATCCTGCATATAAGATGTGTTTATGGTTTCATTTTTAAAGTATTTTTAGTGATTTTCCATTAATTACCTCCTGCTCCTCCCTCCTCAGCCAAACACTCAATTGACTGTCGACTGGAAAAGTACTCTGCAAACCCTCAGGAGGACTTCCTGTGTGACATCTATTCTGGAGGACAACTTTCCATGAAGGAGCTGTACGCTGCCATCGCAGAGCTCCAGATTGCCGGAGTTGAAACGGTAAATCTATCTTTCCAAAAGCTTGTTAAAATTAACATCCTTCCAACTCCCTGCTTTCTTCCATAACATCTGAGACTGAGTTAATCCTGTAGTTGCTTCGGTGGCCTAGATGCAGGTGAATTTTTACCTGAAATTACTAGATTCTTCTGTTCATTGCTCCTAGGGATGGCTCACAAAATACCGTAAGGCAATGACCAGCCGTAAATGTTGCTTTGAACTTTTGGCAGCTTCATGTTTCCGTCACCACAAACAGAGGTCTTACGTTTCTTTTTGGTTTGTTTCAGACGGCCAATAGTTTACTGTGGGCTTTGTATAACATTTCACGCAATCCACATGTCCAGCAGAAGCTTTTCCAGGAAATACAGAGTGTTATGGCTGCTAATGAGAGCCCAAGTGCTGAGAACTTGAAGAATATGCCTTACCTAAAAGCATGTCTGAAAGAATCCATGAGGTAAAATTCTCCAATAATTTGCAAAAAGCAAAATGATCACAAAATTTTTTAACAGCTAGTGTGTGCTAGCAATGGTGCTGGGGAAGGGTCTGGAGCACAAGTCTTAATGCGGAGCGGCTGAGGGAACTGGGTTTGTTTAGCCTGGAGAGGAGGAGGCTCAGGGAAGACCTTATCAGACCTACAACTACCTGAAAGGAGGGTGCAGAGAGGTGGGTGTCTGGGTCTCTTCTCCCAAGTAACAAACAATAGGACAAGAGGAAACAGCCTCAAGTTACAGCAGGGAGCCTTAGATTGGATATTAGGAACAATTTCTTCACCAAAAGGGTCATCAGGCATTGGAAGGGCTGGAGGCATTTAAAAGGTGTGTAGATGTGGTGCTTAGGGACATGGTTTAGTGGTGGACTTGGCAATGCTGGGTTAATGGTTGGACTTGATGATCTTAAAGGTCTTTTCCAATCTAAAGATTTTATGGTTCTACTAGGGAGGAAGAATTTTCTGGTATATACAACTTTGTTTAGGGTAAAGTGTGATAGATGCAGGAAGAAAAAGTGATGGAAATTTAATCCATTGTTTCTTTCAATGTAGATTAACACCATCAGTGCCATTTACTACTCGCACCATCGACACGGAAATGGTTCTGGGAGATTACGTACTGCCCAAAGGGGTAAATCAATTAATTTAGCTTATTAGAATATTTTGTCATTGAATAACTGCCCTGTTAACCACTGAAGCTGGACATATTTCAGTCTCAAAATGACTTTGCCAAAGGACAAGGCCCAGGATAAGGAATGAGGAATTCGCACCACGAATTCCCATAAACTGAACACCAAACCTGCCTGCACTGCTCTTGGATTTAGAAAAAAGTATTTCAGTGCACTATTTCAAAAAAAATTTCCCAAATTTCCAATGATTTTCTGAGGAAACGATCATTTCTAAGTTTGAATTAATCTTCAGGGAATTACATGACATCTTAGGAAACCGCCTTGCCTTTACGGTTGCATTATTTTTTTCCATTAACAAGCTGATTCATTTGGTAGCTCTAAGCCAATTTGTAATGAGACTCTCCTATTGCTTTGTTTATAGACTGTACTAGTAATAAACAGCCATGCCCTGGGTTGCAATGAGGAGTACTTTAATGACTGGACTCAGTTTAAACCAGAGCGCTGGTTTCAGAAGAACTTCATAAAACCTTTCTCTCATGTTCCATTTGGCATTGGGAAGAGGATGTGCATCGGGCGCCGCATAGCAGAGCTACAGCTTCACTTGGCCCTTTGCTGGGTAAATACTCTAAAACAGCATTCTGTGCTCAGTGTCTGGCTGTTCTAACCTAATCTGAATATCTAGAAACCAAGGCATGCTGACTGAAATGTTTGTCTTTCAGCTCATTCGCAAATACCAAATTGTAGCAACTGACAACAAGCCAGTAGAAACGCTCCATTCAGGAACACTGATTCCCAGCCGGGAGCTTCCCATTGCATTTCGCAGACAATAAGGTATGAGCATAAGGGTCTCCTGAGTACAAGAGACTTGTCTTTGAACCTCATTTATAATTTTTGCAGAACTGTGAGTAGAAGAGACGAGATGTTTTTCTAAGGTATATTCTCATAATGTGAGATTTATTAAATGCCATCACATTTTGTTACTTTTAACAGAAAACATTCTGTGTATGACAACAGAAGACAGATTTCCTGTGGCTTACGGCTCTGAAGTTAGCTGTCTAGTTTTAAACTCCAAGAGAGCATGTCTTCTGTACATGATGCAGATCAGAAATGGGGAAATCAAAATGTATATACTGTTGGGAAAAATAATAGCCATTAATTTGTTATAATACAACTTTTCCACTGCATTTCTAGAAAGTATTTCCTGAAAAATAGCATTTGATTTTGAGCTTCAATGTATAAACTAAGGAGAAAATGCCCTAGGGAAGGATCAGTATACCAGTGCACTACAGACTTTAGATTAGAAAACTTCATTTTAGGCAGAAAGAAAGCAATACCTATTTGAAAATAGTCATGCAATGTTGCTACTTATTATGCATTATTGGTTCAAAAAAATGCATGTAAGATTTTTATACAAATAGGCTAACAAAAGGCTTGTGAACAGAGAAATTTAAGTTGAAAAATTGCACCTTTGATCTAGAATAAGGTCCTCAAATTAGAAATCAAGTGACATTTAAATACTGGGGGAGATATTTTTTTGCTGGCCAACACCAGAGGAAAAAATCACCCAGAATAATTTGAGTAAGGGTATTAACTCCATTAATTGAAGTTTGTTCAGTACTGTTTGATTTTAAATAATTGATCACTAAATAGATTCTTTTTCTCTTTAACGCAGCTTGCAGCAAATAAATGACAACCCTACTACTGCTTTCTCTGAAAAAATATACACGGCCTGGGAAAGCCAAAGCCTATGGTAACCAGTGGAGAAACTGCAACACATGTCCCTTAAACAATCGCTGAGCCAGAAACAGTACCTAGAAGAGCTCCCATACTGTTTTATTGGGAAAATGGGCATATTTCAGCTGTGCTTAGCAATGTTACAGGCAAAGAAAAATACCATGCACGTTCGTATACCTATGCAAATATACCGATTTAGTGCAGCTGAGGGACTGTGCAGGCTATTATGTACAGTTCTTGTTAGTGCACAGTGAAATTATTACAGCCTCAAGCTGTGCAGCAGGCTAGTTTGAAAGGAGCTGGTTTCCAGTTCGTGGGTGTCATACAGGACACCTGGGGGAACAAGAGTCACAAACTGAACTGGTCCTGTTAGCTCAGACTTGAGCTGCGAGAAGCCCACTTAAGGGCAAGAAACTCACTTAGTCCTTATCAAATTGCCAGTGTCATGAATTAAACTGAGAAGTAAGATGTCAGCCTGTAACAAGGCTAACAACAGGGCTTAAAGATAGGGTAACTAAAGAAGTATCCTTTCCCTAACGTCACTCACTTCCTTAATAAAAGGGAAAGAAGGACAAAGGTGTGTAACAGGATTTATTCCTCATGCCTGCAGAGTACTTTGATTTGAACAGTTGCAATGTTGTGCCTGCCACGTTCTCTGCTTGCAGCCATAGAGTTTCATGCCTCCAACTCCCACACAAGCCATTTTATCACAGCTTTATTGTCAAACCTGAGTGGTCCTTTATTGTATGAAAGGCCTTATCCGTAAATGGAATCACTGGAATCCTATGGGTTCTGCCACTATTAAATGATGATTATCCTAACAGGATAGTTACTTCATCAGATGAGTAATATAAATAGTATCTTTCAAAGAACCACAGGAAATAAGAATCCTAGGCATTTCAAAGAGGTCTATTTCTTGTGGAGATTCCAATACCTGTATCCAAAGGTTAAATTGTCACTGCCCTGCATGTTACACCGTATGTTAGTTCTTATGGTCACTAGTGTGTTTTTCCCATGATGCAGTTTCAAGTACAGGTTTATGTATATAACTATAAATGGCTATTTTTATTTTTTTACATTCTGAAATGATACAAAATCTTAGCATTTTTTGATCTGTCTCCTGCAGGTTTTTTTGTTTTCCTCTGTTCTTGTACTCAGACATGTAAATGTAGCTACATTACAATGTGTAAAGCAGTCTGTGCATTATCTGAATCTTTCTAGTCAATTTGGTAATAGTCAGTTTTATAACAAAATAAAGATTTCCAATTTTTTTCTATATATAGTCTTCCATAGTTTGTTATAAAGTCTTTGTAGAATTAGAGAAATTTTGTCTTCCATGGTCACTTCTTGCAAAAAAATTGCTGTGGTACTTTCATCCCTCTGCTTAATATCCTCAGTGGGCTTGAAGCTCTACAAAATCAAGTTACTTTAATTCAACACTGAAAACCTGCTTTATGATACCACTAAGTTGCTTGACTTTAAGCTGTAACCTCACCCTATCTGGGAAACTGTTTGCAAAGCCCAGCTCCCGGCAGGAGGGTGTCACAGGCAGTGCCAGGCACGTGCCCAGCCCCGGCGAGGTGCATCCTGGGTTAGAAAGTACAGAGGAGTTAAGCCCTGCAGCACAGAGCTTTAATGCCAGACCCCTTTTGGGCCATTAATCTTGCCATTCCTTCAATCCAGGCTAACTCTAACACCCAGGAATGTGTTAAATCCATGCCTACAGCCCCTTTCCCTCTGTACAATCCTATCAGACCTCCGTGAATGCTGGTGTTTGGAAGCTTTCTACATCCATACCACTGTTTCTCCCCAGCATGCGCAGCAGTGAGGTCTCCAGTGAAGGGATTGTTACCTTTTTCTGCCATTATCATTGAATCACAGACTGGTTCGGGTTGGAAGGGACCTTAAAGCTCATCTAGTTCCACCCCCCCTGCCATGGGCAGGGACACCTTCCACTAGACCAGGTTGCTCAAAGCCACATCCAGCCTGGCCTTGAAGACATCCAGGGCTGGGGCATCCACAACATCTCTGGGCAACCTGTCCCAGTGCCTCACCACCCTCTCTGGGAAGAACTTCTTCCTGATATCTAATCTAAACCTCCCCACTTTCAATTTAAACCCGTTACCCCTTGTCCTGTCACTACAGGCCCTTGTAAAAAGTCCCCCCCAGCTTCCTTGTAGCCCCTTCAGGTACTGGAAGGCTGCAAAGACAAGACAAAATCAATATAAAGTTTTAAGGAAGGATGAAAGTAGTCTGAACCTTTGCAGGAACCCCAGAAACGATGTATACAATAAAAAGCCACCCAGCCAGCACTGTGACTGACAGCCTGATGGTTACGCAAAGAGCAAATCTGACTGTTATCAAAACCATACTGTCTTTGCCAAGCGAAGGCTGCCTCTGGCTGAGTGAATGATGGCGTAAGAAAAATCACACAGCACTGCGAGAATGTCGCTTTTCTGAACACTGTACTGCAATGTCTACTTTAGAGCGACTGCAGTTTGCACTGCTTAACCTGATGACAGCTGGGAGCACTGGGTCCCAGAGCCTGGGGAAGGTGGGTTGGGACACCATGCCTGCTCACTCGATCCCCGGGGAGCTTTGGCATCTCGTGCTAAGGTGCAAGACTCTGTGGGAAGATCTACTCATCTGCCACAGCAATAATATACACTAGGTCTCTTTTTATAGTAGTATAAACTGATATTTCTCCTTACAGAAGTTTAAACTAATATTAATCCATTAGAGCCAACTGCGTTGTGCCAATATGAAACAAGTGTTAACAAAAAGTCAGGACTATTTTTCAATTCCAGAAATATCACACTGCTCACAAATGCTCCAACGATTTAACGTTTAAAGACAACCAAAGAGAAGAGGTGTTATCCAGCTGAACTGACCTTGACAGCCTAGTTATCAGCTATTTCGAAATCCTTTATTGCTTCTGTATAGTAAATCACAGGTTCGTGCTTACTGGACTGCTTATTATTTTTGCTATTTAAATTTAGTGGACTCAAAGATCTATACACATGCTGCTCTGAGTAAGGTTTTGACCATCTCTATACGAGCCGTGGTACAGATGTGTGGTGCTGTCTTCTAGATTTCTGAAAGTAAAATAACCACTGACCTGGAAAATTTTGTTCCAGAAGCTTTGTAGATTTTCAAGTTCCTGAAGTTTTCAAAGAACTTCATTAATCTGCTACCTCAAAGTAAATGTCCAAAGCAATTTACCCAGGAAATAGGTAATTATCAAACGACACAGCTAATGAATGACCAAGGCAGACCTGCACATTAAGAAACCCGTATAGCTTTCTTTTTCTCGTATTTCAGAAGCAGGAAAAACAGCCTGATGCCTCTGAGAGTAAGCCATGTCCATGAAACCTTTCACTTACGGTCAACTGGATAAATTCAGTTCAGCTCTTTGCCTCTTTGAAATGATTTGCTCATTCAGAATTATTTATTAAAAAGACAATGACAACACTACTTCCCTGCTACCGTTTCCTACAGTTACTCCTCAGAGGAAGATAGTTGGATCGTAAAATGAATGGAATTAATTGGCCTCCACATCAACTTTCTCAACAAGGAAGTGAAAGAGGTTTACATATCCAAAAGGAAGTTAATTCTGTTCAGGCTTTAGGCACGTTAGTAGGAATGATACAGACAAAGCTGGAGCCAAGTAATCCATGCTTTTTTTATGAATAAAGAACGCCAGTCAGGACTGACAATCTGGCGTTTTTCATATATGTCCTGTTCATTATAAACTTGCTGTTATATAGTTCTGAGTCAGCCTCTGCACACACCTTTCAGTGCTGTGATCAGAAGTCAGATAATGTGTTCCAGTTTGTCTCCTTCCGCAGCGAGAAGGGTCTTCGTTCTCAACACCTAGAGGCAGAATTCATGTCAGTGTCTCCGCTGACTTTAACCACTGGGACAAAATAACCCAGGCTCTGAAAAATTAATTCTGCAAAATGTTAATAGCTAAGTTCATTTCAGAACAAGTTTTAAGAGAACAACTCAAAATGTGCTTAGTTTTAAATATGTGAAACATCATCTTGACCTCAGTGGCACCGCATGTGTGGGTTTTTTAATGCATTGTCACTTTTCA